GGGAGAGCCTAGACTGTCTGGTAGCCGGTGAAACTCGAGGGCACCTTTCTCTCAGAGGTGCTTGCAGCGAGTACTGAAGGACCCTGAGGAACACTGAGACTCAGGAGCCACATAGGGCGGGGATGACGGAAGCCAAGACTGTAGGCTCCACCCTGAAACTCCGGCCCATCCAAGCTGAACACAGAGACTTTTAAGGCTTAGGGAAGCTGCAAAAATACTGAGACAAGGAAACAGATCACAAACAAAAGAAATGGAGGACAAAAAGCGACTGGATATACAGTTCAAAATCACGCTTATAAGGTTTTTCAAGAATTTCCTAGAAAAGGCCAATAAAATAAATGAGACTTATGAGGATATGAAAAGGGATCAACTAGAAATAATAAGGGATCAGCTAGAAATAATAAGGGATCAACAAGAAATAGAGAATACATTGTCTGAAATAAAAAGATATTATACAGAGTCCTAAAAACAGAATGGAAGATCATAAGTATCAAGTCAAAGATTTGGAACATAAAGAGCCAGAGGACACTCCTCCGCAGAAGCAAGAAGACAAGAGAATCCAGAAAGTTGAAGATAGTGTAAGAAACCTCTGGGACAACTTTAAGCGAACCAACATCAGAATTTTGGGGTGCCAGAAGAAGAGAGAGAGCAAGATATTGAAAACATACTGAAAAAAATAGTGACAGAAAACTTTCCCCACCTGGTGAAAGAATTAGACCTACAAGTCCAGGAAGCGCACAGAACCCCAAACAAAAGGAATCCAAAGAAGACCACACCAAGACAAATCATAATTAAAATTCCAAGAGCAAAAGACAAAGAGAGAATATTAAAAGCAGCAAGAGAAAAACAGGTAGTTGCCGAAACCAGTTTGGCTCAGTGGTAGAGCATCGGTCTGCGGACTGAAAGGTCCCAGGTTCGATTCCAGCCAAGGGCATGTACATTGGTTGCGGGCACATCCCCGGTAGGGGGTGTGCAAGAGGCAGCTGGTCGATGTTTCTCTCTCATTGACGTTTCTAGCTCTCTATCCCTCTCCCTTCCTCTCTGTAAAATATCAAATATATATATATATAGTTACCTATAAAGGAGCACCCATACGATTGTCAGCTAATTTCTCAACAGAAACCATGCAGGCCAGATGGGAATGGCAAGAAATATTCAAGGTGCAAAAACCTACAGCCAAAAATAATCTACCCAGCAAAGCTATCACTCAGAATCGAAGGCCAGATAAAGAGCTTCACTAATTAAAAAAGGCTAAAGGAGTTCATCACCACCAAACCAGAATTATATGAATTGCTGAAGGGGGTTCTTTAGGAAGAGGAAAAAAATAAAGATAAAAATATGAACAACAAATACATAACTATCAACAAGTGAATCTAAAAACCAAGGGAATTAAAATCTGATGAACGCCGAGACCGGTTTGGCTCAGTGGATAGAGCATCGGCCTGAGGACTGAAAGGTCCTGGGTTCAATTCTGGTCAAGGGCATGTACCTTGGTTGCTGGCACATCCCCAGTGGGGGGTGTGCAAGAGGCAGCTGATTGATGATTCTCTCTCATCACTGTTTCTAACTCTCTATCCCTCTTTCTTCCTCTCTGTGAAAAACCAATAAAATATTTTTTTTTAAATCTGATGAACAATATTAACTGGTAAATATAATAGAATCAGAGGTATGGAAGGGGGTGAACTGACGATTCTTGGGGAAAAGGGGAGGGGGGTGTGGGAAGAGACTGAACATAAACTGTGCACCTATGGATGAGGACAATGGGGGGTGGGGAAAGGGCAGAGGGAGGGGTGGGAACCTGGTGGAGGGGAACAATGGAGGGGGGAAAATGAGGAACATATGTAATAATATGAACAATAAAGATTTATTTTATTTTTTTATAAAAAAGATCTAAACTAATTCAAAACTAAGAACGCCATTGAGGTCCTTTAGATTTAATTTTTAGAAGTTGATTGCTCTAGCACTTATAAAGAACAAAGAGGCAAAATCAGAAAAAAAAGATTTTATAAAAAAAATAAAGAAAGAATATACATAAAATTGGAAGTGGTTTTCAGGCCATTGAAACTTCCCATCTAGTTTATGTTGTGGCCAAAGAGGAAATGAGGTGGGCGTGATCTCCCCACGAGTGTGCAGCGGGAGGGTGGCGTGGCCCACGAGAGAGGAAGCGTGAGTGACGGATCACAAATCCACTGCTCAACAATCACCATGAAAAACCAGAGGTGGCCCTCGGGACTGGGCGTCTCTAATCCAGAAGGATTCAAATGGCCTAGCACTAGCACTTTTCAGAGGAAAGACTTTCCCGCGGAGACCCGAGCCGGGACTGTGGGAGCCATGGCCGTGTGGGCGGCAGCGGGGAAGGGGCCGGGCGCTGGGAGGCTGTGAGGGAGAGGCCTGATGAGCCTGAATGGAGTCACCGGAGTAGGATTCAGAGGTAAACCCACGGCGAGGTGCTGCTGCCTGCTGCTCTTCCAGCAGCAAACTCAGGCTCCCCTGCCACGTGGGACCCTCCTGAGTTTCAGCACCAAATGCGAGGGCCAGAGGGCGAGCGGCTATGAATGGTGAGGTCCAGGCGGCTTTTTCTGGGCGCGAGTTCTCAGGGCGGGTCTGGATCCAAGGAAGGTCCTGAGGGGAGAGAGAATGGTCTCAGCAAAACGGAGTGTGGTCTGATGAAGGGGAATGCCCTCGGAAGCACCTACAGACCGGTTCCCAGGGAAGGGGCGCCGCTCCGTTGGTGACCAGACCTCACAGGCCCTGGGGGGCGAGTCCCTCCTGCGGCGCCCGCGCTGCGCGCCAGGCCCGGGCTGAGGGCCGCACCGGCGTCCCCCGGAAGCCGCTCACCTGCGCCGGCCTCCCCGGCCTCCCCGGCCTCCCCGGCCTCCCCGGCCTCCCCGGCCTCCCCGGCCTCCCGGGCGCCGAGCCCACAGCTGCGCAGACCCGGGCGGGCCGCGCGCTGCGCAAACCGCAAAGCACCTTACAGCGCCCGCCCGCCCCGGAGCCGCCCTGGGGAGCCGCCCGGACACGGCCCCGCATGTTCTGCCCCCCCCCCCCCCCGAGTCCCACCTGAGAGACCCCAGGACAGGCCCGGGGCCGCCCGCCCCAGCCCCCCGTGCCCAGGCCGCGGCCGCCGAACTCTGAGGGACCCCGCGGGATGGCAGCAGGGCATGGCCCCCTCCGCGGAGCCGGAAGCAGGTCCGGGAGGATTAAATGAGCCGGCTCCCGGGCTTGGCCTGGTCCTGGCCTCGGCCTCCGCCTGCGGCTCCGGGGAGGCTGAAGGGCTCAGCTGGCCGCCCGAGGGAAGCAGAGCCGGCGCGGGAGCTGGTGCCCCAGGAGCTGGCCCCGGAGGATGGGGACTCAGCAGGTTCTCCCCCGGAGCCGGAGGGCGGTGCTCCCGCTGGTCACCCTCCAGCTTCGGCGGCCCGGCCGCGCGCTGTGAGGCGCGGTGGGCGGGGACCCCGCCGGGCGGAGACGCGGGGCCCAGCCCGGGCTGCACAGCCGCGGGGAGCCGCGCCGCCGCCGCCTGTCCCGGGCCGGGCCGGTGCGGGTGGGACCTTCCCGGGCACCGTGAGCCGGGGCCGGGCGGGGCGGGCCGGGGGCGGGTCCTCCGCTCCAGGCTCCCGCCCGCGGGCCCACAGCCGGTGGCGGCGGGAGCGTGGCCTCCGAACCCGCCCGGGCGGTGAGCGGCGGGGGCGCCGGGGGCGGCGGGGGCGCCGGGGTCGGAGCCGACGGCGGGGTCTGTCCGCGCCTCCGCCCCGGAGCGGAGCCTCGGGCCGGCTGGGCGGCGGTGTGGCCTGTGCGGGTGCCGCCCGGCACGTGCTGGGAAAGCGGGGTCCCGGGAAGGGCGTCCCGGGGGCTGCCAGGCTCCTGGGTCCTAGGCGCCTGCCCCCCGAAGGCCCGGGACGCGCGGGGAGCGCAGGGGTGGGGTGGCGGGCGCGGGGCGCAGGGGGATGGGGGTGTGCGGCGTGGGGAGGCCTGGGGGGTGCGGGAGGCTCTGGGGGAGCGGGGCGCGGGGAGATCTGGGGGCGCTAGGGGAACTGGGGGCGCGGGGTGTGGGGGTGCGGGGTGTGTGGGGGCGCTGGGGGAGCGGGGCGCGGGGAGATCTGGGGGCGCTAGGGGCGGGGGGCGCGGGGTACTGGGGGCGCGGGGTGTGGGGGGAGCGGGGCGTGGGGGGGGCGCTGGGGGAGCGGGGCGCGGGGGGGCCCGCACCCGCGGGGCCAAGGCCGGGCTGGGCAGGGGCTGGCAAGGGCCCTGGGATTGAGCAGCCCCGAGGGCGGGTTCGGTCGGGGGCCAGGGTGGGTCTAGGGGGCTGGCCCACGTGCCTTGGGAAGCTGTTGGCGGGTTTGGGGGTAGACGGAGACTGGGGGGTGGGGGGCTCAGGACTGGAGAATGGCGACTCCTCGCTCAGGGAGGGAGTTCTGGAGCGGACAGGCCCCGCGCCAGGCGGCCGTTCTGCCTGCACCTCCGTCCGGCGCCTGGGAGCTCGGAGCAGCCTCGCCCCGCAGGCCGCTGCCACCCGGCAGGTGGTGGACGCTGGGATGGTGCCTCGCGGGCAGGGGCAGGGCCTCGCGCCCAGATGTCCTTGGGCGGCACAGGCCTGGGTTAGGGCAGGGCCTCGCGCCCAGACGAGCTCCGGGACCGACCGAGAGGGGTGGGCGCCTCTGTGCTCCTCACCCCCCCCCGCCCCGTGTTTTGTCTCTGCTGCTCCCCACCCCCTCTTGCTGATGTGCTGTCTCTCTGACCTCAGGCTCCGGGAGGAGGCACGCCGGCGGCGAGACGCAGGGAGGAACGGGCCGCACCTTCCCAGCCCCAGCCGGGCGCCGGGGCCGGTCCCTGAGCTCAGAGGGGCCGGGCTCCGGAGGCCGGAAGGCAGCCCGGGAGCAGATGGTCCGGTGCCGGGAGCCAAGCCAAGGAGGGCCTCGCGGGCCGCTCCCTGGGGCTCTGCGCCTCAGGGCGGGCGGTAGCCCGGCGCCAGGGCGGGAGTGGCCAAGGTAGGAAGAGGCACCATGGGCCTGCAGGAGCTGTGCCCCGGCCCCAACCAGGAGGCCCCGTGGGCGGCGAAGAGGCAGGCCTGGGCGGAGGTGAGGAGACCAACTGGGGTGTCCTGGGCGGGCAGCTTTCACCCACCCCGTCTGCAGGCCACATGGCACCTCAGGCTGCTCCAGCTGAGCAGCGCCAGAAGGGACCGCGGGCCTTCCAGGCAGCACGGCGCCCTCAGGGTGCCTCCCGGGCCACAGAGCGCAGCCTGTCTGCTTGCTCCCCACCCTGGTCATTTTCCTCGTAAACCCTCTCTTTGCTCCTCTCCCTCCTTCCCTCCTCCCCTCGATGGCACCGCTGCTCCGCTTGCCCTGCCCCTCCCTGCTGTGGTTTCCCTTCGCTCTCCGGCCGAGGCCAGTGCCTGGCTGGGCCCAGGCTCCCGGAGCCCTCTCTTCCAGGAGCCGGTCACCCTGGAGGACGTGGCGGTGCGCTTCACCCCGGAGGAGTGGGCGTGTCTGGACGCCGGTCAGAGGGCCCTCTACCAGGAAGTCATGGCCGAGACCCTCCGAACCCTGCTGTCTGTGGGTGAGCGGCCGCCTGGCCTGCTGGCCCTGGCTCCCCTGGCAGGCAGGCCCATCACCTCGGGCAGCCTCACTGGCCCCTGGTTCTCGGGTGTGAGGCCTGGGTCCGAGCCCAGGGAGAGAGGACAGGGCTGAGAGCCTCGTGAAGGCAGGCAGCAGCAGTGCTGCCAGGATGGCTGCCTCAGGGCGGGCGAGGCCGCTGCTCAGGGCCGGCCTGGCAGGTCTCCCTGCGTCTGTTTCCCAGGTTCCAGCGCTCACACCGCACAGGCAGCCTGCTGCCCCTTCGGGGAGGGCCCCCCGGGGACCTCAGCTACTTCTCCCTCCCTCCCTGCAGCCAGAACCGCCCCGTCTAATGCAGCCCTGGCCGCCGAGCTGGAGGAAGAAGAGCAGCGCTGGAGAGCAGCCCTCCTTCCTGCAGGTGCCCGGGCTTGGGAGCTGAGGCCACGGCCCGGGGGGGCGGAGGGCCTGCCTGTGGCCGCTTGTCAGGGGCTCCTTTGCTGAAGTCCCTGAGAGAGGAAAGGAAGGACGGGGGGGGGGGGGGGGGGACGACTTGACGCCCAGAGGGTCGGGGAGACTGGCTCCTGGGAGGTGAGGCCGAGAGAGGCTGCGCCAGGCCGGCCGCGGCGGGCCCAGTGCCCGCGCGCACCGCTCTGAACGCCCTCTCCTGTCTGCAGGGTGTTAGGACAATGAGAGGAACTGGGTTTCAAAAAGTGTTGTAAGTTAATATTTTAATCTGACATTGTTGAGAGATTCCAGTTGAGGTTTTACTTGCTTAATCAGAAAACCCTGGAGCGGCGGAGGGCGCAGAGCGAGGCGGGTGCGGGTGCGGACTGGGGGTGAGTCTCGCTGTCTCTTCTCCTTCCGGCAGGAGGTGAGGAGCAGCCCAGAGGCAGGGGCTCGGGCCCGAGCTCTTCCCCAGCGGGGCCCCTGGGCGGGACCCCCGAGCTGCCGGCGTCCGGGGCGCGGCCCCCCTTCCCCTGCTCGGTCTGCGGCAGGGGCTTCAGCAAGCGCTGCAGCCTGCGCCACCACCAGCGCGCCCACGGCCCGGAGCGCCCGAACCGCTGCGCCGAGTGCGGGAAGGCCTTCCGCAGCCCCAAGGCCCTGGCGGACCACGGGCGCACGCACCTCGGGGAGCGGCCCTTCCGCTGCGGCCAATGCGACAAGACCTACTGCGACGCCTCGGGCCTGAGCCGCCACCGCCGCGTGCATCTGGGCTACCGGCCGCACTGCTGCCCGCGCTGCGGCAAGGCCTTCCGCGACCGCTCCGAGCTCAAGCGCCACCAGCGGATCCACGGCGCCGCGGGGCCGGCGGGCAGCCATGCGCCCGCGGCCCGGACCCAGGAGGCCGCGCGCAGGGCCCAGGGCCCGGCAGCTGGGCCGCGGCTGCCCGCCGACAGGATCCCGGTGCTCGTGGTGAGAGCACGGGCCCCTGCGGCCACGGCGCCGGCACCCCGCGGCCCGAGCACCGGGCCCCGGGCCCCCCTGCAGGAGCATACGGGGCGCAGGGCCTCCGCCGGCCCTTCCCGCCCCCTGGCCCCGCGCCCCCGGCACCAGGAGCCCCGCCGCGGCCGCTGCGGCCAGTCCTGCCGCTCGGCCCCGGGGCCGCTCCGCCACCAGCAGGCCCAGGGCGCGCCGGGCTACCGCTGCCCCGTCTGCGACCTGTGCTTCGGGGAGCGGGAGGCCCTGGTGGCGCACTGGGGGGGCCCCCGTGGCGAGGGGTTGTGCCGGGCGGTCCTGGGCCGGTGGCTGGGCCTCTCGCCGCGCCCCCCCTGCGGCCGGGAGCGCAGTGGGTCTCCGAGAGGCCGCACCCCCAGGAGGCGGCAGGGGAGGAAGGGAGAAGGGGTGCGGGGGAAGAGAAGCCGCCGGGGCGCGGACAGCCTTGGACGCGAGTAGACGCGCTGCCGATGGAGGACGGGCGGACGCAGGCCGGCAGAGCGGCAGGCGCAGAGGCGCAGGAACACCCCCTTTCAGCCTCACCCCATAGAGCAGGCTGGTTGAGCAAAACGGTGGCGCAAGGACATGGAGGAAGGGACTGAAGGGGAAGTCGAGGCGGAAGTACAGGGCGGCCAGGATCCCTTGGTCCCTGGCTCCTCAGGAGGCCCAGGCGGGGCTCGGCCCGGAGCTGGCTCTCCCTGCCCCGCTGCAGCTCACTCTGTCTTTGGATTTTGGACTCAGCATGTTCCTTCCCTCCCACCCTCCACTCAGCCGGTTGGGACCGGGTCACTGCGATCGGCACGCTGTGGGAGGCAGCGGCCCCGCCCTCCGCGCCCCGCAGAGACGCGAGCGCCTGCGGGCTTCCGGGTGGAAGGCAGGAGGCGGAAAGATGTAGGTACAGCCCTGGCTGGTGTGGCTCAGGGCACCGTGTCAGCCTGCGGACTGACGGGTCCTGGCTTCGATTCTGGTCAAGGGCACATGCTCAGGTTGTGAGCTGGATCCCCAGTAGAGGTGGTGCAGGTGGGAGCCAATCCATGATTCTCATCATTGATGTTTCCATCTCTCTTTCCCTCTCCCCCTCTGAGGTCAATAAATGTATATGTACATATATATTTTAAAAAAAACAAAGGTGGAGGTACAAAAACAGGAAAGAGCTGGGAAAAAGATGACAGAAGAGAAACAAATGGGTGTGTAGAGAAGGTGGAACAACAAACTTAAAAAAATTAATGAAGAAATAAGTCCTATTTGGGATTCGGAGCGTTCCTGGAAGTGCACGTTGGAAGGTGCCCACAGCCCAGAGGCCTGATGGATGCAACATCCCGAGGACCCGTCCTCAGCCCAGCCAGGCCCTCCGCTCCTGCCCATTCGGCTGCTCTCAGAAGGGGTTTCCTAGGAGAAGACAATGACTGGGAAAGTGCCAGCAGTCACCTCCATGGGGCCGCCCGCCTGGGCCTGTCTCTGGCGGGGCTGGGGCTGAGGCCTGCAGGCAGTTGCCCTGGGAAGGGGAAGGAGAGGGGCTGTGCCCAGGGGCACGTAAGGGGCGCCCTTCCCGCTGCCTGTCCAGCTGGTAAGACGGCTGCTGCCTCAGAGCCCCTGGCCCGTGCAGCCAGCCCCCCTGTCCTCTGGGCTGCCCATCCTCAGCCCCTCTTGCTGCTTTCCTGCGGTTTTGTTGTTTGTTTTTCAGCTTATAAGGAGGAATGAACTTACTTAGTTCTTCAAGAAATTGCCCTGAAAACAAAGAGAAGGAGGTGACTGGTGGGAGGTGACAGCTCCCGCCCGCACCTCCCTGTCAGCTCTGCAGGGATGCATCCCCTTTCCACTATGGGACCCCCGCTGGCCCTGGTGACAGGGAGGCCCGGCTCATCTTCCCCTGCCCCACCCCGGCACCTGCCAGTCTTCGGTGCAGCCAGTTGTAGCAGACGACCAGCGCGGCCAGGGGTCCGAGCACTGGCACGGCCACGAACAGCGTCACCTTCCAGCAGGGCACCCTCAGGAAGTGGGGATCTGGGTTGTCCACCAAGAACAAGCAGGATTAGCAGATACCCATGCCTCCTCCCTATTGTTGGGGTTTCTTAACATGCTGCAGAAGTCTGCAGAAGTTGCTTATGTTTCTAGCTGTTTGAAACGACATCATTAGACCTGAGCAACGTTTCAGTGGGGCCTGGCGGAAGCCCCGGCCAGCCATGTGGTTGGACTCCTGCACCCGGAACCGCCCGCCGCAGCCTGGTCCAGCGGTGACGGGTACTTGGCTCTCCAGTCACTCCCCGCCAGACGGATCTGCAGAGGTCCTGCTTGCCCGCCCTGTCTCCTGAGAAGAGGCCTGTGCCCAGGGGTTATCCCCGCAGGGCGATCGCAGGCCTCCCGCCCCCCCGCAGCTGTCATTCGAAGGAAAAGCAAGAGGAGAAAGGCCCTGGTCCCCGGGCCGGGCCAGCACTCACCGAAGGTCCTGTGGAGGCTCTCTGGAAGGAAGAGGGGGAGGGACTTAGAGGGCCCGGGGCCACACGTCTCGTCACCTACAGTGCTCTGCCTGCCTGACGGGCGGATGAGGGAAGCTGCGGGTTTGGTGGCTCACAGAAGGCAAGAGGAATGAAATGTCCTGTCATTTTTGGCCGCGTTGGGAGTTTTAAAGGGAACTCGGGGAGTGGCAAAGATGTCCTGAGAGAAGGACCGCTTTGGTGAGGCCGAACCGGAAGGGAGGGGGGCGGGGCAGGTAATGAAACTCACCTATCTCCGCCCGCAGTTTTCCTAAAACGGAAGGCACCACAGTGAGTCCCCCGGGCACACGGGCCGGCCGCCCGCCCGGCAGGAGCTGGCTGTGGTTGGGGAGAGCCGTGGGCTGGGAGCCAGGGCTGGCTCTTCACTTGGCTATTGTCTGGATTAAATATTGGGGTAAAGAGTGTGGGGAACCTCGGTGCACAGCAAAGCCCCAAACCAACAAGATTTTCTTACCTCCCCCTGCTCCTTGCCCTTCGGCCACTCTCTCAGGGGGGGCACCCCCTGCTGGGCCCACTTTGTGAATGTAAATCCGCCCCATCTGACGGGAAGGGCGGGGTTGAGCACTTGGGGAGCAGCCGCCTCCATGCACTTTACATGACATTAGCCTCCCGCTGGCTCCCCACTTGGGAGGGCCTGGCTTTGCCTGCAGCGGGCGGGGCCTGGTTCCTCCTGCTCAGCCTGTGGCTGAAGGCCTTGTGTATGCGGACCAATTCGGGGGAGAAAAAAGCCCCCACTTTCTGTGCCAACACCTCCCTCCCAAGCCCTTCTTGCTTTGGGAGGGGAGAAAGGTCCTGGGCTTTGCCCTGGGAACATGGGGCGGGGGCGGGGACGGACGCAAAAGGGCTTGGTGCTGAATGGAAACGGAAGGAGGGTTTCCGAGGGCAGCCGTGCGTGTGTGCCTGTGTGTGTGTGTGTGTGTGTGTGTGTGTGTGTGTGCGCGCGCCCGCGCCCCCTAAGAGCCTGCCTGCCTGACCAGCTCATGCCCTGCGGGTGATGCTCCCTGGGCCGGTCCAGCAGGGCGCGGGCTGAGCTCCCCGCACGGGCTTCCGGCACGATCTGCTCCTGCTGGGCTTCCTCATCCGCAAGCCCCCTCAGGGTGCAGGGTCTGCGGCGGACGGCGCCCAGCTGCGTGAGCCTGGCGTGGGGCTCTGCACCCAGGAGCCCAGGGGGGAAGCGCCGGGAGCCGCCTCATGCTGGGAGGGCACCGCGCGGCGGGCGTACCTCTCAGCCTGCGCTGCAGGACCAGGAAGAGCAGGCCGGCCGCCAGCTGCAGCAGGAGCAGGGGCAGCACCGCCAGGCCGGCCAGCGCGCCGGGCCCCACCCAGTGGAAGGGATCTGGAAGAGAGCACAGGCGGCCTGTGGGAGGGTCTGGGGGAGCACAGGCCGGCCTGTGGGGGCCTCTGGGGGAGCACAGGCCGGCCTGTGGGGGCCTCTGGGGGAGCACAGGCCGGCCTGTGGGAGGGTCTGGGGGAGCACAGGTCGGCCTGTGGGGGCCTCTAGGGGAGCACAGGCGGCCTGTGGGAGGGTCTGGGGGAGCACAGGCCGGCCTGTGGGGGCCTCTGGGGGAGCACAGGCGGCCTGTGGGGGCCTCTGGGGGAGCACAGGCCGGCCAGCTGGCACCCCACACCAGGCCGCCCGCTCCACACTCAGGTGAGGGAGGGAATGAACATAGCCGAGGCTCAGGGAAGGCAGCACAGACTTGACACCTGAGCTTCATCCTGAGGGAGAGGCTAGAGCTTGGACCACAGCGCTCAAGGCTGCAGGCTGGGCTAATCCGACAGGCCTGAGCTGGCGCCACAGCAGAGGAGCGCGGGGCAGCCCAGAGGTCACGGTAGCAGGAGCAATGGGAAGGACGAGCGGGCACGGCCATGGAGGCGGAGGAGTTCAAAGGGCTGTGCACTCCACTGGGGGAAAGATGCATGTTTGTTGTCAATGACGCTGAAGCTAAATGCAGTGTTTCTTTCGATTATGTTTGTAAGCAACACACTACAGTGTAAGCAGTCTGTGACTTTGTCTTCAATAAAAACACAAATATCTTCATGTCACATGTTGCAGCAATCTCAAAATATCACTTCGGTCTTTCATTAGTTTGGAATTACACTAATTATCAGGCCATCCCATACCTTGTTATTTTGTTAACTATTTCAGTGCTGTGTTTTATTTTATGCATGTGAATCACCCTCCCGAGAAGGGCCATCGCCTTGCCAGCCGCCAAAGAGGATCCATGCACACGGGGTCAGCAGTCCTTTCTGGAGCTTGGAGGCAGGAAGACCTTCAGAACCCGTCCCTGAGCATGAGAAGTGCAGGGGTGTGTGTGTGTGTGGTCTCTGCTCTCCGTTTCCCACCTCTCTCCCATGCTAGAGTCTCCTGGCCTCTCCTGTCTAGTCTCAATGTGCCATGCTTCCGCCAGCCCTTACCTGTTCTCTGCCTTAGAGGGCCGGCTACAGACACTGCTCTCAGCGTCAGGAATTAAGTCACAACAAGCAGCACTAACTCGGTCCGGAGTTAGGCTGGCCACTAGCTTGTCCCCATACACTGAAGTTATGGGTTTGATATCCGGTCAGGGCATATACTAGAAACAATGAATGCATGAAGTAGTGGAACAATAAATCGATGTTTCTCTCTCTTCCTCTCTCTCAAATCAATAATAACGCAGTCCAGCCGGCACCAGTTTGGCTCAGTGGATAGAGCGTCGGCCTGCGGACTAAAAGGTCCCGGGTTCGATTCCAGTCAGGGGCATGTGCCTTGGTTGCGGGTACATCCTCAGTGGGGGGGGAGGGGTGCAAGAGGCAGCTGTTCGATGATTCTCTCTCATTTATGTTTCTAACTCTCTATCCCTCTCCCTTCCTCTCTGTGAAAAATCAATAAAATATATTTAAAAAAATAATAATAACGCAGTCCATCTAAAAAAATGAATAAGCGGGCCGGGAGGGATTCGTAGGTATAAATACAATAGCAGAAGTGGTTGTCCAGCTCATATTTAGCTCCATCTTTGTAACCGAGAGAACAGGCCATGGACCTCCTGACGGATGCAGCTGACAGAGTGCGGGGCGGAGCGCCTGCCACACCCCAGGGCACAGGATTGGCAAGACCCAGGTCACGGGAGACACAACAGCGCCAATACCAACATGTAGATCTCGTTTGGGTCAAACAAACCAGTTGTAAAAATATACTTATGAAACGATCAGGAAAATTTGAACACAGACTGGGTATTGATGACTTCAAAGAAATTTTGTTAATTAAAAAAAAGTGATCATAATATTGTGGTTATAATTTCTTACAGCATTTTACTCTTTTTCATTGAATTTATTGGGATAACATTGGTCAACATAATATACATTGAGCGGCCAGATGATTATGATCTCTGAACGAATAATAATCTGGCCAGTCAGTGTGTGTGTGTGTGTGTGTGTGTGTATTAGAGGCCCAGTGCATGAATTCATGCATGGGTGGGGTCCGGCCAGCCTGGCCAGGGGGAGGGGACATGGGCAGTTGGCCAGCCTGCCTGCTGGCTGAACTCCTGGTCCAGGGGACAATGTGCATATTAGCCTTTTATTATATAGGATATACAGAGTGGCCAGATTATTCTGTGTTCAGAGATCATCAACATCTGGCCACTCAGAGTAGTTTCAAGTGTACATCTCTATGGCACATCACCGCATATTGCATCGTAGCTTCTCCATCCAAAGCCAAGTCTTCCGTTACATTTAAAAAATGCATTGGTTGGTTTTAAGAGGAAGGGAGGGAGGAGAGAAACACTGCTTTGCGTTGCACTTGTCTGTGCATCACTGCTGGTTCTTGTATGTGCCCTGGCGGGAACAAGCCCTCAGCCTTGGCACATCTGGACGGTGCCCCAACCAGCTGAGCTGCTGGGTCAGGGCTCCTTCCAGAACTGTTTGTCCCCCTTTACCCTCTTCTACCTCGGCCACCTCCTCAAGTGGTCTTCACTCGAATCCTCAAGGACTTAGCAATGAGGTGACCCTGCAGCCTGGGGCTTGCCTCTACCTCAAGGGGAGGCAGGTAATGAGGGGCCGGAAGCAGTTGGCTTTGGTCATCGCTGTTGCGGGCAGTGATGGGTCCTTGGAGGCTCGTTAGCGTTATTCTCTCTACCTCAGTATATATTTTAAGGTTTCATAATGACGAGTTTAAAGAAAAGATTAGAGCCAAAACCGGTTTGGCTCAGTGGTAGAGCTTCAGTCTGCGGACTGAAAGGTCCCAGGTTCGATTCCGGTCAAGGGCATGTATGTTGGTTGCGGGCACATCCCCGGTAGGGGGTGTGCAAGAGGCGGCTGGTCGATGTTTCTCTCTCATGGACTTTTCTAGCTCTCTATCCCTCTCTCCCTTCCTCTCTGTAAAAAATCAATATTTTTTTTTTAAAAGAAAGGATTAGAGACAACTATTAATAAAGTCACAAAAATGACAAGGAAAGAATATGGTCTGAGAGACAACAGAACTGCGGAAGCAGGTGCGAGTGTCTGGGACCTGCTGCACCGGAGCCCGACCTCGCCTCGGCGGCTCAGCTCGGGCACCCGTGGCTGTGACACCCCCTCCCGCCTGGGCAGCAGACACAGAACAGGAGGAGGTGGGATGTGGGTGTCGGTCCAGAGGAGCTCTGCCCTCCCTGAGGCAGCTTCGGTGGGAGGTCACTTTTTCTTGTACAATTGCTGTCTGAAGAGCACTGGGTGAGCTGTCTTCACAGCCACCCGCCACCATCTCCAGATGGCGCTTTGTTCTCCACACAAAGTGTCTCTGGTCCGCCTGCAGGGAGCTATTGTCTGCTGGGTTGGCTGGTGTTTCTCCGCAGGTGGGGAGGAGGAAAGGGGAGAAAGGAGGTTCCCACCCTCACAACACTTTTGTCCTTCGATTACATAGCAATTAACTTTCTCCCTGGCCAGCTGCTCAGTGGTTAGAGCATTGTCCAGCTACCCAAGGTTGCAGGTTTGATCCGACTTAGTCAGGGAACATACAAGAAGCAACCAATAAATGTAGAAATAAATAGAACAACAAAATCAATATTTCTCTCTTCCTTCCTCTCTCCCTCTAAGGATCAATCATTTTTTTAAAAATAATTAATTTTCAAAGCTTCCCTTTCATCCACTTTACCTTGCCCACATCTAACCATCCTGAGATAAAAAAAAATAATAATAAAGTGAAACGAATTGCAGGTCCGCATCAGGCCGTGCTGCAGGAGCGGTGGGAAGCACATGCCGCTGGCTCACTCAGACGTGTTCTATGGCTCTCCTCCCCTCAACTATGTTGGAATATATTTCTCATAGTTCCTCATCTAATAAAACACCACAGACACATCAACTTTGGAATTCATTGTAATAGGATCTCGCCAATTTGACTCTTTTAGGACTAACCCCCTTGTTTATTCAAATAAAAGGAGATATTCCAAAACAACAAGAAGGAAAAAGCCCACTTTGATTACTTTCAGATTACTCATGTTGTCTTCTAGCAGCACAAACTAATCGGAAATGTAACATTGGTCTGAGAGAGACTCCTGGACTGGTTGCCGCCCACATGTTCCCCTACCAGGGCTGGGAACCTGCAGCCAAGGTACATGCCCTTGACCTGGAGTGGAACGGAGAGCCTTCGGTCTGCAGGCCCTCGCTCTAACCACTGAGCCCGGCCAGGCAGTGTGACTTGCTTTCATCGCTCAGCAATGCTTGTGGCATGTCCCAAGCCATCTGCCCTCGCCCCCAAACAATCCTGAGTGGCTGCACGGGGTCCGGATGAATAACCCGCAACGGCCCCTTCCGCCCCTGGGCTGCCTGCTCTGGGCTCGGGTTCGAAGCCAGAAGCAGCAGACCCGAAGCCTGGATGCTGCTGTGGGGGCTCGGGGGGTGGGGCTGAAGGAGCTCCTCCCAGGCTCCGGTGGAGCGGGGCCCAGGAGCCAGGGCTCCATCCCGGCAGCGCCCAGCGGGGTTCGCCGGAGTGGGGGTGCAGGAGGCCGCGGGGCCCTGATTCTCACCATTGATGCTTCTCTCCCTCGCCTCCCTCTCTGGCATCAATAGATATTGATCAATAAATATTTAGCAATAAATATTGCTAAATATCTCCCCCCACCCAAAAAAAAGCCGGGGCCTGCGGGCACCCACCTTCCACCTGCAGCTCCAGCGCCGCCTCCTCGTGCTGCGCGTGGTCTCGGAAGAAGCAGGTGTAGCCGCCCGCGTCGGAGGGGCGCACGCGGCGGATGCGCAGCGCCGCGCGGCCCTCGGCCAGGCCGCCGGGCAGCAGCTCGGTGCGGCCGCGGAACTCGGGCGCCTGCTCCTCGGGCCGGTCGCGGCCGCCGCGGAACAGGTGCACCATGCGGCCCGGCGGCCGCGCCCAGCCCACCTCCATGCCGCTGGCGTTGCGCGCGGGGGCCAGGCGGCACGGCAGCTCCGCCGGGCGCCCCGCCAGCGCGCGCACCGGGCGCTCCGGGCCCAGCACTCGGAACTGCCCTGCGGGACACCGGGCGTCAGGGGCCGGCGTCCCGAGCGGCGTCTGAGCCGCGGGGGTCGGGGGGCTTCGAGGCGGCGGCGGGCGGACTACCCGCACCCAGCCCGCGCCCAGCCCGCGCCCAGCCCCGCCCAGCCCGCGCCCAGCCCCGCCCAGCCCGCGCCCAGCCCCGCCCAGCCCCGCCCAGCCCGCGCCCAGCCCCGCCCAGCCCGCGCCCCCGCTCGGACTTGGCCAAAGCGGGCGGACCGTCCCGTCCCTCCCCCCCCCCCGCCTCCCCGGGGCTCAGGTCTGTCTGCTCGGACCCCAGCCGCCGGCGGGGCGCCCCGCACGCGCCTGGCCTGTCCCGCAGGGAACGTGTCCCGCTCGAGTGGGAGCCGGCGGAGAGGGCTCCGGAGGGCAGGGCGGGCCTCCTCTGCCAGGGGCTCCGGGCGAACCCAGTTCCTCCTGGGCGGGGGGCTGAGCACGGGGCGCCCCTCCTGCCGGCCTGATGCCCCGCACTGACCGGCGCGGCTTGGGGATCGGGGCCCCTAAGCTGTCACGGACCGGACCGTGTCTCCCGGGCCGCACCCCGACCCGCAGCCACGGGGGCCGCACCCCGACCCGCAGCCACGGGGGCCGCACCCTGCTCGCTGGGGGACCACCGCCCCCGGAGGGGGAGCGGGAGGCCGGGCCACGCGCCGCGGGGAGCACGCGGACCCGCTCGGAGGGAGGCCGCCCGGCAGCTGGAGGGCGAGCGCGGCACCAGCCTCGCGGCCGGGCCGGGGCCGGGGCCGGCGGCCTTACCGGCGTGGCTGGAAGGCGACTGGAGCAGCAGCAGCAGGAGGGGCAGGCGGCCGGGCAGAGGGGAGCGCCTGGAGCTCGCCATCTCCGCTCTCCGACGGGCCGGCCGGCACTGAAGCGCGGCAGGCGGCCGGGCGAGGAGCAGCGCCCCGCCCCCCGCAGCTGGCCCGCGTCACCTCCCGGCCTCACAAAGGGCCTCAGACGGGGTGACAGGCCGGCCTGCCGCCCCAGCTCGAGAGGAGGCTGCCTGGCACCAGCCTCCCTCCGCTCCTCCCGGGGCGCCGTTAAGGGGCTTCTGGGATCTGACCGGCTGGGACCAGACCCTCCGCTCCCTCCTTGGACCTCAGGGATCCCCATGTACCCTCCGCCCGCCACCATCCTCCCAGTGTTAGCCAGGGGAGGGTCACAGTTGGCCTTCTAGAGAGGAAGGAACTTGAGCCTTTTCCTCGTTCTTACGCCTGATTGGAACTGCCCGAGGCTTCCCGGCTTCCTCCCACTCCGCGGCCAGACCCGGCCTGGCCTGCGCCCCGCTGAGCCCTCCTCCTGCTCCCCAAGGCAGGCAGGAAGGTGGGAACAGCGTGGCCTTGCAGGGAGGAGCCTTCCTTTACCCTCAAGGTCCTCCACTGGCCTGATGGTCACATAGACATGAAAGACAGCGAGGGAACATGGCCAACTAGATTACATGTGTGCACGGGCACCCGGACACACGAGAGCCAGAGGCCCCAGGCCGAGGGGCGCAGGACAGAAAGTAAAATGAGATGCTGCCCACATTCCGAGCGAGGCCCAGGGCTAGACCTCGGGGAGGCGGGGGGCGTCAGGGTGCAGCGGGGGCCAGTAACCAGAAGCTGGCCTGCCATCACAGACACGGCCCCACTCAAACCCCGTCTAGGCAGCTAATGAGGACAGAAGCTGCGAGACCGCAGGGTCTTGGTTGCCTTTGGGTCAAGCAATCTGCACAGCAGAGACACACCTGCGGCTCCTCTGAATGTTGGGAGTTGATGGCCACCTCTGCTCAGAGAGACAAGCATGGGAGGGCAGCAAGGCTGTCAGCGTAGCCAAAGCCAGAACCCACAGGCCCCTGCCGCCTGGCTCTCTCTCTGAGTCCTCAGGTCGCAGAGGAAGAGCTGAGGGATGGAGAGTGTCCCTCACCTCCGAGGTCAGCGAGACGGCATCCTGCGGCCACAGGGATGTGCCCACGCGAACGTGCTGCCCGGGAAGCCGTGAGCCCCCAGGAAACCCCGCCCGCCAGGTGGCTGCGCAGGAAGGGGTGCACAAGCGCCGGGTCCTGTGGGAGACGCAGCGCACACAGAGGAGAGCGGCGTACACGTAAAAACCGTCCTCTTTATTTCTTTGCACATTTGCTTCTGTTTCAGTCCGAAGGTGTAAAATAATATACTTTGAAGAATGTCCCCCAGCCATGTGGCGCCAACTTCAGTTTCCTCTGCACCTTGCACGTGCGCCACCGGAGGGAGCGACAGGGCCGTCCTGGGTGAGGAATGGGACTGCATCCCCACCTCCTTTTCTTTATTTTTATTTTTTAAATGTAATAAATCATTACTGTTCAGATTATTACAGGTGTTCCTCTCCCCCCCATAGCTCCCCTCCACCTGATTCCCCACTCCACCCCGTACCCTTACCCCCGCACTGTCCTCACCCATAGGTGTAAGATTTTTGTCCATTCTCTTCCCGCACCCCTCAGACCTCCTCCCCACTGAGAATTGTCAGTCCACTCCCTTTCTATGCCCCTGATTCTATTATATTCACCACTCCATTCTGTTCATCAGATTTTTTATTCACTTGATTTTTAGATTCACTTGTTGGTAGGTATGTATTTGATGTCTTTTTGTTGTTCATACTTTTTACCTTTACCTTTTTCCTCTTCTTTAAAATACCCTTCAGCATTTCATGAAATCCTGGTTTGGTGGTGAAGAACTCCTTTAGCTTCCTCTTGTCTGTGAAGCTCTTTATCTGGCCTTCAATTCTGAATGATAGCTTTGCTGGGTAGAGTAATCTTGGTTGTAGGTTCTGTTCATCACTTTGAATATTTCTTTAAAAAAATATATTTTATTGATTTTTCTTTCAGAGAGGAAGAGAGAGGGATAGAGAGCTAGAAACATCAATGAGAGAGAAACATTGATCAGCTGCCTCTTGCACACCCTCCACTGGGGATGTGCCTGCAACCCAGGTACATGCCCTTGACCAGAATTGAACCTGGGACCTTTCAGTCAACAGGCTGACGCTCTATCCACTGAGCCAAACTGGTTTTGGCTGAATATTTCTTGCCACTCCCTTCTGGCCTGCATAGTTTCTGTTGAGAAATCAGCTGACAGTCATATGGGTACTTCCTTGTAGGTAACTAACAGTTTTTCTCTTGCTGCTTTCAAGATTCTCTCTTGTCTTTTGCTCTTGGAATTTTAATTATGATGTGTCTTGGTGTGGTCCTCTTTGGATTCCTCTTGTTTGAGGTTCTGTGTGCTTCCTGGACTTTTAAGTCTATTTCTTTCACCAGGTAGGGAAAGTTTTCTGTCATTATATCTTTCAATAGGCCTTCAATATCCTGCTCTCTTCTTCTGGAACCCCAAAAATCCAGATGTTGGTACACTTAAAGCCATCCCAGAGGCTCCTTACACTGTCCTCACACTTTTGGATTCTTCTTTCATCCTGCCTCTCTGGTTGGGTGTTTTTTGTTTCCTCATATTCCAGATCTTTGATTTGACTCTTGGGGTACGTTGATCTACTGTTGAGTTTCTGTATATTCTTTATTTCAGACAGTGTATGCTTAATTTCTGACTGGTCCTTTTCCATCTTTTTGGTATTCTCATTAAGGTCCTCCAAGGTCTCTTCAAGTTTCTCAGCGATTTTTAGAAGATTCTTGAGTAACCTTATAGATGTGATTTTGGAGAGGAACCAAGATGGCGGCATAGGTAAATGCCTATCTGCAGCCTCACACAACAATTTCAAAAAAATACAATTAAAATACAAAATGGACATTACTCAGAACTACAGGAAAGTTGACTGACTGGAAATTCTACAACTAGAAGGAAAGAGAAAACCAGAAGGAAAATCAGAGGAGCTGTAAAAGCCTAAGGTACGGAGACACAGTGTGCGCACTGAGAAGACGGAGCTGGAGAGAAGGGGGAGGCTGAGTGCCTGGCTGGTGTTCCCTAGCGGAAAGGAGACAAAAGCTCCGGACTGTGCTGAACCCCAGATCCGACAGCACTGAACCCCAGTTCTAGGCGAGACCCTGGTCTCTGTCCTCCGGCCCGGGTGGTGCTTCGTGTCTGTGATCGCAGGAGGCCGCTAGCTGCCGCCTGTTGCAGGAGTAAACCTGGTTTATGTTTAAAAAAAGAAGAAAAGACTCAGCTTGTTGTGAATTGGGCACTTGGGCTTTTTTTTCTTTCTTTTTACTTTTTTTAAATGATTATTTTAAAAATAAATCTTTATTGTTCAGGTTATTGCAGTTGTTCTTCTTCCCCCTCCTCCCCAAAGTACCCCTCCACCCGTTCCCAGCCCACCCTCTGCCTTAGCCCCCACTGTCCTCACCCATAGGTGCACGGTTTTTGTCCAGTCTCTTCCCGCACCCCACACCCCTCCCCAGGATCCAGTCCACTCCCTTTCTCTGCCCCTGATTCTATTATACTCACCAGTTTACTCTGTTCATCAGATTTTTTATTCACTTGATTTTTAGATTCACTTGTTGGTAGATATGGATTTATTGTTCATAATTTTCTTTTTTAAAAATATATTTTATTGATTTTGTACAGAGAGGAAGAGAGAGAGATAGAGAGCTAGAAACATCGATGAGAGAGAGTCATCGATCAGCCGCCTCTTGCACATCCCCAACTGGGGACATGCCCGCAACCAAGGTACATGCCCTTGACCGGAATTGAACCCGGGACCCTTCAGTCCCCAAGCCGACGCTCTATCCACTGAGCCAAACAGGTTTTGGCTTATTGTTCATAATTTTCATCTTTGCCTTCTTCTTCTTCTTCTTCTTCCTCTTCTTAAAGAATACCCATCAGCATTTCATGTAATCCTGGTTTGGCTGTGATGAACTCCTTTAGCTTTTTCTTGTCCGTGAAGCTGTCCTTCCATCTGTCCTTCCATTCTGAAGGATAGCCTTGCTGGGCAGAGTAACCTACCAGCAGCATGGCCCCGAGCCGAGGGCGGGAGCTGAGCTGGCCCAGGGCCTCAGGCACCTGCCCTGCGCCCCGACTGGCCTGGGGCTGCGCCTCTGCTCCCGTCCCTTCCCCAGCGCCTGGGTCACGTCCTGGGCCCACGTCCTGGGGGTCAGCCTGCCGCATCCAGGCAGCTGCTCAGAGGGCCGCCCAGTGGGCTCCCTTCTCCTCCCCTTTCTTCTCCCCTCCCCTCCCCTCCCCTCCTCTCCCCTCCCCACTCTTCCCCTCCCCACCCCTCCCCTCCCCACATCTCCCTTCCCCTCCCCTCCCTTCCCCTCCCCTCCCCTTCCCCTCCCCTCCCTTCCCCTCCCTTCCCCTCTCCTCCCCTTCCCCTCTCCTCCCCTTCTCCCTTCCCCTCCCCTCCCTTCCCCTCCCCTCCCCTTCCCCTCCCCTCCCTTCCCCTCCCTTCCCCTCTCCTCCCCTTCCCCTCTCCTCCCCTTCTCCCTTCCCCTTCCCCTCCCCTTCCCTCCCCTCCCCTCCCTTCCCCTCTCCTCCCCTTCCCCTCCCCTTCCCTCCCCTCCCCTCCCTTCCCCTCTCCTCCCCTTCCCCTCCCCTCCCCTCCCCTTCCCCTCCCCTCGCCTCCTCTCCCCTCCCCTCCCTTCCCCTCCCCTCCCCTCCCTTCCCCTCCCCTCCCTTCCCCTCCCCTACCCTCCCTTCCCCTCTCCTCCCTTCTCCCTTCCCCTTCCCCTCCCCCTCCCCTCCCCTTCCCCTCCCCTCCCTTCCCCTCCCCTCCCCTCCCTTCCCTCTCCTCCTCTTCTCCCTTCCCCTCCCCCTCCCCTCCCCTCCCCTCGCCTCCCCTCCCCTTCCTTCCCCTCCCCTCCCCTTCCCCTCTCCTCCCCTTCTCCCTTCCCCCTCCCCTCCCTCCCCTCCCCTGCCCTCCCCTCCCCTCCCCTTCCCTTCCCCTCCC